AATATTGACTTTCGTGCCAGAAAAGAAAAGGTATTTGTGGGAAGTTTTAATTCATTACTTTATTTTGAAGAAAAGTGCTGCTCAATACTTTGGGAAGCTTATGGTGAGCATGCTCCATCTCTAGATACTTGTGAATGCTGGTTTAAATGCTATAAAAGCGATGATTTCGAGGTGAAAGACAATGCCCCGGTCAACCAAAAAAGTTTGAAGGCCAACAGTTACAAGCATTATTGGATGAAGATCATAGTCAAACCCATAAACAACTTGCTGAAAGATTAAACGTTGCTCAGCAAACAATTTCTGATCATTTATAAGCAATGGAAAAGATTTTAAAAGAAGGAAAATGGGTGCCACATCAACTGAATAAAAAACAAATGGAAAATTGAAAAGTCATCAATAAAATGTTTCTTCAATGGCACGAAAGTCTTTTTTGCATTGAATTGTGACTGGCAATGAAAAGTGGATTTATTTTGAGAATCCCAAATGCACAAAATCATCGGTCAACCATCAACATCAATGAAAGACCAAATCTCTTAGGAAAGAAGACAATGGTTAGATCAGGAAGGTGTGGAGTATTAAGAGTTTCTAAAACCAAGTGAAACCATTAATACTGCCAACAACAAATAATCAATTTGAATCACACTTTAATGGTAAAACAACCAGAATAGGCCAGACAGGGCAAAGTAATTTTGCTTCATGATAATGCACCATCACACACTTCAAAACCAGTTAAAGACATGTTAAAAGATCTTGCCAGGGAAGTATTAACCCACCCACTGTATTCACCAGACTTTGCTCCTTCATATTACCACTTGTTCCGATCGATGTCACATGAACTTTCCAAGCAGTACTTCAAAACGTATGAAGAAGTGAAAATTGAGTTTCTGATTGGTTTGTCTCTAAACAAGAAAACTTCTATTGGGATGCTACCCACAAATTACCTGAAAAATGGGGGAAATGTGTAGCTAGCGATGGACATTACTTTGAACAAAGCACTTTTGATGTTTCTCTTGAAATTATCATGCTTTCTTTAATTACAAAATTCGTATCATTAACCGGTACACCTGTATATACTGCAATGTGATTGCTACAGTAGCATTTGCTGACAATAGCTTTATTATGTCATGTATTTATCATTTCTTTTAGTGTGTGTTGAGAGTAGTTAAGATTTAGTCTCTGAGCAACTTTTATAATATGGTACATTGACAATAATCACTATGGTGTGCATTACATAGAACTTACTTATTTACTAGTTTTAAGTCTGCACCCTTACCATCTCCCCATTTCCCCCACTCCCTATCCCCTGATTATCAACATTCTACTCTGTCTTTACATGTTCAGTTTGTTTAGATTCCACATACAAGTTATTTCAAACAGTGCTTGTCTTTGTCTGATTTATCTCACTTGGCATGATATCTTTAATGTCCACTCATGTTGCTGTAAATAGCAGGATTTCCTTCTCTCTCCTGGTTAATAATATTTCACTGTTTGTATGTGTGTCACATCTTCACTCATTTGTTGATGGACACTTGTGCTGTTTCCAAATCTTATATATTGTGAATAATGCTTCAATGAACATGAATGTGCAGGTATTCCTCCAAGATACTGATTTCAGTTCCTTTGGATACATACCCAGGAATAGGATTGCTGGCTCATATGGAAGTTCTATTTTTAATTTTTTGAGGAACTCCCATAATGTTTTTCATAATGACCGTTCCAATTTACATTCTTACCAACAATGTATAAGGATTCCCTTTTCTTCTTATCCTTGCCAACATTTAATATCTCTTGTCCTTTTTAAAATATTTTTGGAAGAATATGATTTTTTTTTTTTGCCTCTTTTATGTGTTTGGTTTAAATGTTCTAGGCCAGCAGGCCTCTATGCTCCATTTAACCATCTGGAATCTTGGTCTCTTCATCCCCTGGGACAGTGCCACTTAAAGTATGGACTGCAAACAAGTCTAGCTCATGAACTGCTTGGTAACAGTATTATGAATCAAGTCATAATATCCTAACATATGTATGGTAACATCTCATTGTGGTTTTATTTTGCTTTTTTTTTTTTTAATGATTAGTGATGTTGAACAACTTCATGTATGTCTATTGGTCATTTGTATATCTTATTTGGAAAAAGGTGTATTCAGGTCTTTTTCCTACTTTTAAAATTGGATTATTTCTTTTTCTGCTATTGATTTATCAGAGTTCATCATATATTTTAGAAGTATGCTTTGCTAATATTTTCTTCCATTTTGTAACTTGTTTTTTCAACTTATTGTTTTCTTTGCTTGGCAGAAGCTTTTAGTTTAATGTAGTCATATTTGTTTTACTTTTTGTTGCCTGTGCTTTGGTGACTTAACCAACAAATCATTGCCTAGATCAATGTCAAGGACCTTTTCCCCTATATTTTCTTTTAGAAGTTCTATGGCTTCAAGTCTTACATTAACATTTTTGGTTTATTTCAAGTTAATTTTTGAGTGATATAAGGCAAGGATTGTTTCATTTCTTCTTGTATGTGGATACCCAGTTTTATGTCCTTTCCCTATTGTGTATTCTTGGTACCCTAGACAAAAATAAGTTAATTAGATAGGGAGATTTGTGTATCAGTTCTCTATTTTGTTCTACTACTTTATGTGTCTATTTTTATGCCAGGATCATACTATTTTGATTACTATAGCTTTGCATTATAGCTTGAGATTAGGTATCATGATGCCTTCAGATTTATTCATTCTCAGTGTAGCTTTGGTTATTTGGTGTTTCCAAACAAATTTTATGACAAATTTTCTACTTACGTTATATATGCCATTGGGATTTTGATCAGGATTGCACTGAATCTATAGATCATGTTGGGTCTCATGGACATTTTCTCAATATTAATTCTTTCAATCCTGGAACACAAGATTTCTTTCTATTTCTTTGTGTCTTCTTTAATCTCTTTTATCAGTGTCTTATAATTTTCACCTCCTTGATTAAGTTTCTTCCCAAGCATTTTATTATTTTTAATGATATTGTAAATAGAATCACTTTCTTGATTTCTCTTTTATATAATTTGTTGTTAGTGTCCAGACATGCTACTGCTTCCTGTATGTTTATTTATACCCTGCAATTTTAGAATTTATTAATTACTTCTGATACTTTTTAGTGTCTTCTTTAGGATTTTCTACATATAAGATGTCTTCTGTGAACAGAGATAATTTTACTTCTTCCACTCTGATATGTATATCTTATATTTCTTTTTTCTACTTAATTGCTAATTGTTCTGGCTAGGTTACCAGTACTATGATGAGCCATCCTTTGATCATGGTGAATGAGCCTTTAACATGTTGTTGAATCTGGTTTGCTAATATTTTGCTAATAATGTTTTTCGCCATATTAATCAAAATATTGGTGTTCATTCTACATGTTTGGTAGAATTCACCAGTGAAACTTTCTGTTTCTGAGCTTTTCTGTATTGGGAAAAATTGATAGGTCTGAGCCTTGAACTGCCTGGGGAGTGGGGCCAGGATAATGACAGTGCCCCTAGCAATAATAGGTCAGAGCCAGTACCTAGGACCCAGGGGGCAGGGCTTGGAGCCGAAAGAGCTATCTCAACAATGACAGTTTAGAGTCTTGACCAAGGATGGAGGGAGAGGAAAGTAAGGCAGCAGCAACACAGCCCTAAATAATGGCAGGCAGCCAGGACCGGTTTGGCTCAATGGATAGAGCATCGGCTTGGGGACTGAAAGGTCCCAGGTTCGATTCCGGTCAAGGGCATGTACCTTGGTTGCGGGCATATCCCCAGTAGGGGGTGTGCAAGAGGCAGCTGATCGATGACTCTCTCTCATCGATGTTTCTAACTCTCTATCTCTCTCCCTTCCTCTCTGTACAAAATCAATAAAATATATTTAAAAAAAATAATGGCAGGCAAAGTGTTCTTGGGATCCTGAGGGCTGGACTAAGAGCAGGGGAAGCTGCCTCACCTGAGCCCAGTTGGGCAAAGAGAAGTAGCAGCTCAATTGTAGTGTATGGTGAGATGCTGGGGCACAGCAACAACCAGAGAACCCGAGGCCATCTCACTTCAGCAACAGCTGAGGCACCTGGGAATAGATACAGAGGTGGAGGCTCTCCAGGCTGCTCCATCAGGGGATCAGCATGTTCAAGACTGTGGGAGACCTCTCTACAAAAGTTGCAAATGTCCACAATGGTGAGGTTTGCTGGGGTTCTCCGGTTCTCTTTCTCTGGGAACTTTCTTAGATCTCTGACTGGGGGATGTGGTGATGTAGGCAAAATACTTTTTTTTACTTAACTATGTGCCCATCCTTGATTTCTGAGCTCTGCTAGGTTTTTGCTGCATTTTTTTGCTATTGTTGTCTAGACTTTAGAACTTTTCCTGAGCTATTTTCTTCCATTTTAGCTACTTATTGTCCTGTGTTTTGTTTTTTTTTAAGGCGGTGATAAGCATTGGGACCTCCTAGCCTTTTACTATAATAGTAGCTTGCTGATGTTACTCTCAAGTCCCTCATTCCTATAGATGAGGCAAATGAGGTCCTGGGAAATGAAATCTTTTGCTCAATAAAACACTACAAGTTTGAGACTGAAAATTTTATTCTTATTCTTCTCTTGATTTTGCTGAGGAATTGATTGTAATCTCACAGGTATGAAAACAACAAAGCAATTTTAAACTGAATATGAAATGTGTTTTTGAACAGTTATTTACATCTTGATCCTATTGTCTCACAATATTTTCAGTCTCCTGATTCATAAATAAAAGTCCTTATTTTAATAGAAAGTATTAACATATTCTTCTGAGAAGTCATCATGGGAAGTTATAGACGTGGCATACATTAATTGAGCATGATAGAATTCTAATGAGGTAAATAATTCTTGTTAGGGCTCTATGAAATAGCAGTTGTGTGTTTTCAGTATTCAACTCCAAATAATTCATGTTTTGCTGTATGTTTTCTTTGTTTGTTTTATTTCTGATTTCTGTACATTTTTAATTTTTCTTCATTATTTCTTTGTAGGCAGAATAACCAGAACATTACAAATAATACTGGAAGTTGTACCAGAAGAAGATTGTCATAAATTATAAATTAATGTATTTGAAATCTTGGCAATCTATCCTTGGCTTTGTTTCTGCCCAAAAAGCTGAAACAAAGTATGGACGTTCACCTCATTTTATGAAAATCCAGAGGACTGCAGGTTTGGTGATGGAATAAAGGAATCATTTATTTTTATTCAGATCTTTTAGTGTATTCAAACTGGTTTCTAAGAAATTTAGTTATAACTCCATGTAATTGTAGAAAATTGATATGCAACTATACCATAACTTCACGTGATTCTTGTGTTCCTGATACCTACCTGTTGAGGTGAGGGGAAAAGACTACGGGATGGACAATTAACTCAGTGGTCTTTCTCTGTAACATATCATGGCTAAGAAACTTTAAATTGAAGACTGAGGTGTTTTCTGTATATATGGGTTTTGTAAAAACATTTTTTACTTACTATAGAAAACTGTACTGTGAAAAGTGTTTTCTATTCTTCTAGAGAAAGAACAAAAAAAAGCTTACATCATCATTATGGACAGAAGAAAGAGAGAAATTTGTGTTACATTGGCAGTGCATTGCTTCCCCTTTCGGTGCCAACCTAGATGAGACTCATCTTTTAAGGGTTAATACTAACAGCATTGTGAACAAAGGACAGAGGGGGCATACCTAACTTTATTAAATACATTAAAGAAGAGCTTCTAGGAGCTATTGTTTACAAATCCAGGAATTATGTTTGTGTAAAATCATTGAGAATTTACTATGTTGGGGTATATTTTTTCACTCCTTGTCAGGAAGCTACGTGGTTGTCTGACATTTTGTTTTCATGGCAGCCCATTTGATCAGCAAAGGATGTAACATCCTTCTTCCAGCAAAACAATAGTCAGCTTGGTATTAAATCCTTTTAAGCATCATTACCTGTTTCACAAATAATTTACCCTTGATAAATATATCTAAATATGTGTATTTTCAAATTTTCAAATTAAAATATCAATGTTAAGACAGAAATCACCAAGAAAGAAAATGCCCCAAATATTATACCTATCCCTATAATCATATCTATATGCAATGTTAGTAATTTTGAACAATATTTTTAGTTTATAGTTATATTTACATGGTGATGAACTTTGACAGGCTGTACATTTCCTATATATATTTTATATTCTGTTAAAATATTTCTTCAGATAAAACTGTGCAGATCAATTAGGAAATGACATATATTTACATAAAAATTGAGCAAGAAATGCTACTGCTAAATAAGATGCACAACTGATATTTCTAAAAATTTTCCACTTCTATAGCTAGGCTTTGTCAGTAATTTATTCACCCTAATTATCATTTAATCTGCAAAAAGAGATAACTGATAACAGATTCATTAAAAGAAATAGAAATTGTGCATGCATATGTATATCCAGACAGGTGTTATTATGCTAGGTTCAGAAACTATTGTGCAATTTTCTAATGATAGTAATATCATGGTGACATTTGTTAACTATTATTTACACACATCTAAGGTTAAGTAGATCATCATAGCCAGTTATGTTTCATCCTTTAATTTTTTGCCCATTTGAAAATAAGAATTTTTGAAAGAATGACACTGATTAAAATCATTAAGAGGAAATGTAGAGTTCACAGACAATTGACAAAGTAATAATGATATTTCATAATTTGAGATAATTCTAATTCACAAATTTCAATTTTTTCTCTTGCTAATATTTAAAATATTATATCCAAGATTGACATTTTTTTTTGACAAACCTACTATTTGGGTCTGTAAGTGAATTCATAGGGTTTTAAAAGTCTCTCCTTCCTATATCCATTTAGCCATATCTCTTCCCACTATATTGTTGCTGGAGGTAATGCAATCTAGGCCCATATATTCTAAACCAGAAAACTCTTCTTGGATTTATATGTAATGAGAAAAAAGGTAGAGTCTCATGGAGAGGTTTGTACATGTAACATCCTCAGGTTCTTGATTATTCCTGAACCTAATGTATGGTTCTTAATTATTCCTGAGGCTAATGGTCTTATAGCAACAGATAAGTCTCCACATTTTATTTATTTCTGATTTCTCTTTAAATATATGACTGAACTGGCTAAGTAGAATACATATTCTTAATGATTCTATAAGGAAAATTCCTTCATCATTATCAAAATGAATTTTCCTTATTAAACTTCTAATACCATCTTAATACCATTTTAACCAGACAGGAAGTCAGTCAGTAATTTTTAAAGAAAGTAATGGAGATTATTAAACTATAACTTATTTTTAGGCTAATCATGACAAAACATGTTTTCTGTGGTGAGGGAATCAATATTCATAATTGTTATTCACAATTGTATCATATCCTAGGAAAGGTGGCTGATTCCAGACCACACATAAATGTTAGGTGTGTTCACACACATGTGCTATGTGCTTGTACAGTATCTCCCCCAGCCACACTGGCACAAAACTAGGACAGATTATTAGGATATTGTAGAAATGCATGAGTTTATCTAAAATAACTATGTTGAAACAAATTTCCAGATTGCCTTAAGTGACTGGTAAAATTATTTCCCCAATTGCTATCCTGTATAATAAAAGCCTAGTATGCTAAGTGTCTGGTTGTCTTCAACCAATCAAAGCATAATATGCTAATGATATGGTAAGGCCATTTAATTGCTTGCTGTGACGTGCACTGATCACCAGGTGGCAGGTGCTTCAACTAGTAGGCTAGCTTGCTGCTGGGGTCCAGCCATTTGGGACTGAGGGAAATGGGCTGGACATGCCTGGAGCCCTCCCATGGGTCCTCCCTAGATGGCCAAATTCCTGTATCCTTCCCAGCCCTGATTGTGCACTGGTGGGGTCCTTCAGCCTGGCCTGTACCCTCTTGTAATCCAGAACCCCTCAGGGGATCTCAGAAACCCAGTTTCAGCCCGATCTTGCAGACCAGGCTGAGGGACCCCACTGGTGCATGAATTCATGCATCAGGACTCTAGTTTAAAATATAATCCGATGGTTAGCATTCCACTGTAACAGTCAATGGAATTCTCCATTCACTGTATTCAGTTCTTTAGGAAAATCAATATTTTATCTCTATTAGCAGATAAGTGTAGTGATAACTAAGAAAGGGAGCATTTTTGACCTATAATTGATTTCTTATAATTGAGGTATTATATATGTTATGAAAAGATAGAAAACTGAAGCTCAGAGTAGCAGGAAATGAAAGTAGTAAATGATTGGAGGTAACAATATTTTGGTGTAATTTATTATGCAGTGTAGTGAGAGAAATATTAAAAATTCAGTGCTTGCTGCACATAGGTGGACATCCAGAGAAGCTAATGAAACTTAAGCTTCAGAGCTGCTCATTTAGACATGCCCCTTCCAAGGTCCTGTACCTAATTTTGCTTTAGGAATTATGTACTAATTTTCTTGAAGCAAATCAGCAAAATTGTATATACTTCTGGCCCTACAAAATCAAAAATCCCTTTGATTAAAATACTTCCACTGCTTTTTCTATTAGAAATAGCATGGAATATTTGTAAAATATATTTTTAAATAAGGTTGTGAGTTAGTTAAAGTATCTATATATAAGTGGCTTTCTCATAATATACATTATGTGATATATAAGGGGAGAGTTTCACTTTTCACATATTTGTCAGTTCTGAATGATAGAATAATAATAAATAGGATTCTAATTATAGTTCTTTTTCTGTTTCTTTTTAAAGGTTGGTTGGAAATAGAGATTTGGGATCTGAATGCAGATGAGTCAAGAAATTTAATGTTACTTAAAAATAATTTTGCTTCTTTTACCCTACTAGTATATGATGGTCTATATGTTGGTGTTGATAATGTCTGCAGGGTTACATTTGACTTTCTTGACCAAAGTCAGGAATTAAGCACATCATCGTGTAACTGGCAACAAGTTCATGGTGGATCTAAAGGAGAGTAGATAATGAGTCATTTTGACAGCTTCTGTTTACATTATTTATATATAGTTAATAGAATTATTACCTGTACATGTTTTTTTTAGGATAATTTTCTTATAAAAGGCATTTTTAATCTTTTCCATCATATATAATACCTAAAAGTGTAACCTGTAGGTAGTATCTTACTGTACTTAAACAATGTATTATAACAGTTATATTTAAGAAATAATCTTTTCTTCTTTCTATTGCATTTTTCAAATTAGTTGGTATAAAAAAATAAATGCTCAGACTAGTTTTATATTTGACATAAATGCACAAAGGCATAAATCATAGTCTCATAGGAACTTCACCAGTCTTCCATGTTGTGAGATAATGTTCTTTATAAGCCTCCAGGGCTATTAACTTGATTTCTTTGGACTATTTCTCTGTTTTCTTGGAATAAATCAATGACTCCTTCTGTATTATTTTTGGCATGATATCCTCCAGATAGGAGTGAGTCTTATTTGGATCTATACAATTACCGATATTCGTAGGTTTACTTATAACCACTTAGGTTTATTTCCTTGGTAGTCCCCTCCCCCTTTTTCTGTTTCCATTGACTTAAAACATCACTGGAGGATGGTTACAGTCTCCAAATAGTTACTTGTACATGTGCATTTCAGCTATAGACCGAGGGTACATATATAATATCAATAGCCGCCTTTATGTTTTTATAGATAACAATCTTCTCAAGAAACTGGAGCATTAGGCATCTATCTGAATGTCATACAAAATGGGTGCACTGGTTTGAAAGTGAACATATACACTACTGGTATTTTTAAAAGAATGACTTTCAAGTGAATTAATTTATTGGTTAGAAGATTTGCCTACTGAATCCATATTACCTCTTGCTGCAGTCTCTAAAGGCCCTGCTGAAAGCTAGAGGAAAAATAAAAATGAATGCAGTTATCTATTTTGCAGCAGTGACTGTATTTTGAGCACCTTGTGTGATAGGGTATTTTGCACAGTATCTTGTGAGAAAATGTCAGGCCTTTGGATGTTACACCTGTAACAGTTGGTTGTCAGTGGTCTGACTTAAAGGATTGTGATGTTAGACCTCAATTATTCCTGCTAATGCTTCCATGCATGCTCAGAAGCT